CACGCTCAACACTTACCACGCTCAATACGCTCGCCATGCCCTGCCCAGCACAATCAATCATCTACAATGTTTACCCACTCATCTAAACCTTGGGTTTGCATTTCAGGTTCTCCTGGAGCTGATCACAGGTCTTCCTGCCTTTGATAACAAGCGCACCCCAGCTGTAATCGTAAGGACATCATCAAGTTTCACTTAAGGATACAAACATGTGCAGCCTTTTTGTTTGTCCTTCCCCCCCACCCCTGCCATGCAGGTCGTGGGGGTTAGGTGACTATACTTCACCATGCTGGTCAGTGCAGGTTGGTGAAATCAGGGGGCATAGATATGGGAGCATAGTATAGTACTACAATAATGTGTTTTGCTAGACTGGCCCTCTCTTTTAGCTTGAGATCTGACAAGATTAGATGGGCCTATAACCAAGTCACCTGGCATGTGCCAAATCTCATCAGATCTCACAAGCTAATTCAGTTTGAGCCTGGATAGTGTTTTAATGGGTGACCACCATGCATGCCAGATTGTCATAGGCAGCTGTGGGCTGTGCCTAATTGTGGTCAGCAAAGGGCACTGCAGCAGAATTCAAAGTTGTCATTCAATGCTCCCATGTTCACGCTCCCCATCTTCACAAACAACTCGCACTGATAAACGTGAAGTATGGTCAAATAATCCCCAGTGACCGCACAGCATAGGGAGGTCCTCATCCAGCAGTGGATTGACAAGAGGGACTGCACATTTACATCTGACTGATTATGTAAATTCAACTTTCAAAAAGTCAAAACTTTAAAATAAACTTGACAATAATTCTTAGTCAATGCCTATCGGTTGCAATCAACGGAAAGTCAGCGTATCGTTGCTTGTGCAGAGCAGCCTACCAGAGGAGCTGGAGGATGGTCCGCACACGCTGCAAGACTTCACGGACCCGCGCATTGGCACAGTTGATCCTGAGTGGGTGGACGCAGTCTACCAACTCGCCCTGCGGTGCCTGGAGGATCGCAAGGGGAGACGGCCTCCAATGAGCGAGGTGCGTTCTTGCTGACATCCACCTTTATTGGTTAAGGAGCCCTGTTCTTAAGGAATGGTCAGTAGGGTCGTTCGTTGGTTCTCATTCGTTTGTTCACAGACACGGGTAACTGAGTGGTTAAGAGGCCTCGCAATGCCTGTGTCAGATTGCCGAGTTAGTACTGCACTGTATAAATCATGAATTGAATCGGGGCAGCTTAATGGTAAACTTGGAACATGCTAGAAGCTGAGGGCAGAGAGAGATATGTTGACAAGTTAGGGTTGGAAAGAGATAAGAGTTGAAGAAATGTGTTATTTTGTGTGATTGTTTGGCTTCTGCAGGTCTCTAGCATCCTAAAGGAAATGTCAGCAACTTGCATGGAGGCTGCAGGAGAATGAGGACTCGAGTGAAGACACGAATGACTCATCCTCAAACATATGTCTATGCGTGTGTGTGACTCGTGGTGGAGCAGTTTTTTGCACACTGCACTTAAATAATTTTGACCCAAGTTCAGTTTTTTGCCATGGGTAACATCAGTGGGTCTTTCATAGATTATTTCAGCAATAAGTGAATATCTGATGAAGTGTAAGCACTGGAGAGAAAATGGTTTCCAAGCACGGTTCTGACCACACTACCCCCTCATGCAACATGTTGGTCTGATTACACGCTGATCAACTGTACTCTGCCCCAATGGTCTACATGGCAATACGGAGACTATTTGCTTTTGTGTACATGTGCAGAGCAATGGAATGTAGTTACACTGTGCTATGATCCTGACAATTCATGTATAGTTTTTGGCCACTTACCATTATGTGCATATTATTTTCGGCCTTCATAGGTGCTCGCTAACAGTGCCACCTCCCAACAGCCTGTTAAGTCTATAAGGGGGAGTTCTTTGTATTTTGTGATGGTGATGTCACCGTCATTTAGTGGCAAATGGCGGCTGTTATTATTGTGTCATGTGCCGGCTTTAAAAGATGCTCGCCAGCATCGATTATTGTGACAGCCGGAGGCTAAAAATGAAAGGTTTACATTAGGCGATGCTTTGGCCAATGGTTATTCTTCATGGCACATAAAAGAACGGCCATTGCCCAAATTGTTGCTGAGGATTTGTGCTTGTGCACCATTGCAAAGGCAGTATTACCAAATAATGATGGCAAAAAAGGTGGTCTTCATGAGGGATGACTGCGATAGTGTGATTACACCATTAACTTAAATTTAACTCTCGGTTGCATACTAGTGCCAGTTGGTATGAAGTTGATTTGAATCTCCCATTGGCCAGCTCTGCGTTAGAAAAGTACCTGATGTGATATGAACATCAGTATTGGGGACGCAAAAGTGGTTAATTGTGGAAAATGCTGAAACAGCCACCCTATATGGTGTGCATTAGCAGAAGCAATAATAGTTGCTTGGTAAAAGTCTCGATATTTTGTACGATAAAATGTTTTTTCTCAATACATTTTATATGAATCTGCCTCGCAAAGTGTCTTTCGTAGAGGCTATGTAAGTTTAATAAAATATTTTATTCCCATCTCGCATTTTTATATTTGTAAGTTTACATGTAGGCAATGTGTGCAGAATGGATTTAGCAAATTGTGTCTCATAAGCAAGCGGTGATGATTTAAATCCCTCCACGTGAATGCTCATGTATTGAAAACATTAAGAGAAAGCTATAGACAAATTGTAATAAAACAGATCCAAAACAATTTTTTTTTATTTTAAGCTTTCGTGACTGCAGGGATTCATATTCTTGGTTCTTTCGGTAAAGTCACGTAAGAAGGGAAACAATAAAATAATAAAAATATAAAACAATAAAATTCTCACGACGTTTCTTGCTGTGGTTTTCACACCTGATGATGACTGCTTGTGTTGCAGTCGAAACGTCGTGAGAATTTTATTGTTTTATATTTATATTATTTGTTTCCCTTCTACGTGACTTTACCGAAAGAACCAAGAATATAAAGATCCTAGACAGTATTGCTGCTCACAGAATTACTGATTTTTGCGCATCTTCAAAGGTGGCCTTCGCCATTCGTTTAAATTCCACATTGCCATGGCAGGGACCAGTCGGTATTCCTCAAGTACAGTCCGGTGTGTTAGTGCATACCTGTAGTTTAATACGTTGGGTGGCTCAAGCTCCCAAATTTGCAGGGCTGCAACGTGGCCACAAGATGGCAGTACAACAAATGGGATCCCGTCTCTCTTGGCTCGGGGTATTTTCCTTTCTTCGTCGAGGCGTTGCTGGGCTAAACTGATTTTCTCTCCCATATTCAATGCGTTTGGACCCGACATCCCAACGCAGGATGAAAAAAGGGTGCTGTGCAGTATTGAGATTCAGTGTGGTCTCCTCGCTAAATAAATGGCATTGCTAGTTTGGGTATTGGGTATTTAATGCATTTGTCCATTGATAGAAAACATGTTTACGCTCATTATGCATGCATTGAATTATGTAAATTATATTATATTGTAACATGCAGACTAATGGAGAAAACAACTGTACAGGACAAAACAAAGGAGAAATTAGACGATTAAAAAATAAACATTAAACTGTTGAATTGTGATTTAAAGCTTTCGTGACTGCAGTAATTCATATTCTTAGCTCTTTCGGTAAAGTCACGTTGAAGGGAAACTAAAATAAAATATATATAACAATAAAAATTCTCACGACGTTTCGACCATAACACAAACGGTCATCATCAGGTGTGAAAAACCAACGGCAAGAAACATTGTTACTGAAAGAGCTAAGAATATGAATTACTGCAGTCACGAAAGCCTTAAATCACAATTCAACAGTTTAATGTTTATTTTTTAATCGTCTAAAACATTGTTTCTTGCCGTTGGGTTTTCACACCTGATGATGACCGTTTGTGTTATGGTCGAAACGTGAGAATTTTTATTTTATTATTTTATTGTTTCCCTTCAACGTGACTTTACCGAAAGAGCTAAGAATATGTTGAATTGTGCTTAATGTTTTATTCCAAGTGTGAGAGTTTAAACCACAACCAGGGCAAACTCTACACCTGTCATCAATTGGAAGGGTGGATATAGTGAGCATCGCCTAATGAGGCCTGTGCCACTTGTTGGAAATTCAACAATTGAAACTGGACATTGCCATAGAAATGTACACCACTCAGTGAGAAGTCAAGGGTTGGCTGTTATGCTCAAGAATCTCAAGTCCCACGTGAGCTGGGTGCCTGTAAACCATCAGTTTAGAAGCCAGGGTTGGTGGATGACACAAGTTTGTGAAATGTTAAAACGTGCTAGGCTTTGAGGTGGCTTGGGAGATGGTAGTACAGGCAGTGGACGAAATCGATCTGTGCGGAGCTTTGAGTGTTACCCCCTTGCGTTGATTTTATCTGGGCGATAGTTTCCTCCCAAATGCCACTCGATGGCATACCTGTTAACCCATATCGTATTCTTGTACAGGGAAATTTGAGTTCTCAGGTCCATCTGGCACAGCCGTTTCAATACGGGCAAAAACATTTTTGTCTGTTTGTGTTTCTGCCTTGTGATGGTACTTTTCATGATGAACGTTGAGATTTAAAAAGGCACGGGGTGACCAATAAGGTCTGAATTGGTCTGTAATAAGGTAGGCACTGATGAGGGTTTTTATTAAAATGTGAACAGTATTATTAGAAGCAAGAAAAGTGCTAAATCTTGCCATGGTAATGTGGAAATTCCACTGCTGAAACGGGATCAGTCCTGGGTGAACACGGCTTCGTTTTTCACAAAACAAGATTCCAGGTTGCTGGTAGACTAGAGTACGTAATAAATATTTATACTGGAGAAACCCGATTAGCTAGATATACAGCTCTTTTTCACACATGTCCAGTAGGGGCGGGTCAGAACGCTACAACAAACTACGAAAACACGGTAGGAGTGCAACGTATAGGAAAGATAAGCAAATCACTTAAAAAAATACAAATAAAAGTACAATTCTATCTAACCAGGTAAAGTCCACTGAGCCATTAGCTTATTTTTTCAGAAACGACCTGGCTACCCCCAAACGATAGCTCAACTAAGTGGCCCATCACGTGGAAATTTATATCAGCCAAATAATTTTGATTCTAAATGTGGAGTTGGCAGGTGCCTCTTTCCGATATGTGCTGGGTAATGGAACGTTTCCTACGTTATCGACCGGGACAAACGACAATAATGCCCTCCGCAATAAGTGAACTAGCCACGTGGTAATTGTTGTCCAACTGTTTGTTGCAGTCACGGTTTTTATTTGGTCAACATTGGTGGAGCGGTACCCTCAGATTATACTTCCAACAACTAGCATGGCTGGACGAGTTTTCAGATTTTAAAACGAAGAGGTCCTTACTCAAGACAATAAATACCGTTACACTGTCACCCTGCGGTACAGTCCATTATTTGATTTATATGAATGTAAAGAGCTTGACAGCTCATCGGATTCCTCCAGCCTTGACGCTCAGAAATACGTAAACAACCGCATTGCGTGTCCGTGCTACTATTTCAACTCGCGCCTTCAAATTCCGGCAGCCGCGATCACATTTACCACTCTGCTTAAGCACGCCCGGGCGGTCGCCCCCCCCCCCCTTGTTTAACGTCGCTCGACCAATGGGAGGTGGCGTAACGGAAGCGGCTTCGTTGCGGGCGACGTAACGCGCTCGCTGATTGGTCCTCCCCCCCCCCCCGTTGGGACAACACGACCTGCATATTAATGAGGCAGAGGGGGGGGCAGAGACGATTTGGTGTCTCCCATAAAACTCACCCCCCGAAAGTCACTCTCTGTCAGTGTCTCTCTCTGTGTGTGTCCGTGGGGTTCCCCCTCTGCTCGCCAACCCAACGAAGAGGTGGGACGAGGGTTTGCGGCGGTGCACTAATTCATTGTGAGTTGTAACTTTTTTTTTTAAAACGGTTTGATTTATTGTTGTTTTAATCTAGTTTACACACACACACGTGCGCGCGTACACACACAGACATCGCCCACCCCTCGTTATGGCTGCATTAGTTGAGTTGGACGAGTCGCGGGCAACACGTGTGCGCGTGTAACACGTGCACAGAAGGTCCACACACACACGCATCGGTGGTAGAATTGTTGTTTAAAGTGTATACAAGTATACGGTATAAACAGCGGAATGTGTTACGAGACCACTTTTGTCTATGCTGTACGTTCGGGAGCTAAGATGCCAATGTCGAGGGCTACTGGCCACTTAGTGGGCTTCAGGAGAGAGAGTTCGTGGAGTTTGGCTAACATCAAGAAAACACGTACAGTCCGCTATAATAGTGCATCACGACACAGCTGCATTAATATACAACTACACCAATGTTACAAGCGCCGACAGCGTGTTATACAAAACAAGTGTGTTTATACAAGTGGGTTACTGTGTGGTTGTGTGTGTTTACACACTGGACACTTGCCATGTGTGTGTGTGGCTGGCCCATACACCACAAAACAACACGACAGTACCAGAGCATTGCTGTGTAAAACATTGAGAATGCATGAATGCAATTCGTGCTGTGAGTGTTACGTACGTGTGTATGTTGAACTTCTTTCGCACCCGTGCGTAGCCAACCCGTGCTAATCGTAGGTGCGGTAATACAATAATAATAACTCGCATTTGTAATGAGTGAGCACCCGTAGCAAACGCTCAGTGTAGAATTACAACGCGGAGAACGGGGGAAAGGAGAGAAGGAATCATAAACGATGGTTGTAACTAATAATGATCTCCGTGTTGCCAGAGATTTAGTCACAAGATACGTAGCGATGTTTTAAAGGGGGGAAACGAAGGCACGATGCCCATTGTGTAATACAAATAGCAGGTAACGTAATGCGTTAAGCGCTCGGAATCAGTTTGTTGTGTGTAAAACTTGGTAAGAAAGGGTAAAAAGAAAAGCAATTATTCTATTGTTTGGTAAATTTTCTAGGGATGCCCATTCCAGGTATAAATTTAGATTTAAAGCTTTCGTGGTATATCGTCTAGGGACCCGGGTAACAGGAATGTAGTCGGCATCCTGTAGTCGGTTTGCGATCTGCTTTGTTTTAATCGCGATGTAAATTGTCTCGTGACTTGTTTCCCGGTCGAGTGTTTCTCACGAGATGTGTGTTTTGTAATAAAGTACAAGGTCGCATATCCGGACCGTCACATCCACCGTGATTGAATGAACCGCCTTACACCCACAGTGCAATGTTTGTGTGTGCTGTAACTATCATTTTCTGTAGATGTTCACGTATCCAACCCATAGCTGCCAACCCCTTATCAGTGCCCTATCATTACAGACCAATTCAGACCTTACTGGTCACCCCGTGCCCTTTATAAATCTCAACGTTCATCCTACAAAGTCCCATCACAAGGGAGAGAACACACAGAGACAACACATTTTTTGTTTGCCCGTATTGAAACGTCTGTACGCCGTATGGACGTCAACTCAATTTCCGTATCCAGGAACACGGGGTAAACCGGATGGGTTGACAACCTTAGGTTGTGTTGTGCGGTGTAGCGTCAGCTGTGATTGTACTCTGTTTATTTTACCAGGTAAGGCCCTCCCCACTGAGCTATGTAGATCGTTTTTCAGAGGCCACCAGACTGTCCACAAATAATAGCTCGACGAAGTGGCTTATCATCGTGTGAAAATGTATAGCAGCCGAATACTCTTAAAACTCGTGATGTTGATTCTAAATGTGGAGGGGAAAAAAAACGGAGGACCCTGAGAAAAACCCTGGCGACCACGGGGAGAGAGAGACCCAGACTCCAAATGTACAGCTGCAGGCATCGTCAGGGTCAGGATCGGGATCGAACCCACGACCTCCTGTATACCAGGCGAGGTAGTTAACATCTCCTAGCCACCGTCATGATAATGAGAGAGAGAGACACGCAAACTCAAAATATACAGCAGCAGGGGTCAGGATCGAACCCACGACCTCCTGTATACCAGGCGAGGTAGTTAACATCTCCTAGCCACCGTGATGATAATGAGAGAGAGAGAGACGCAGACTCCAAATTTACAGCAGCAGGGGTCAGGATCGAACCCACGACCTGTATACCAGGCGAGGTAGTTAACATCTTCTAGCCACCGTGATGATGATGAGAGAGAGACACCGCAAACTCCAAATATACAGCAGGCATCGTCAGGGTCGGTATCAAGCCCACGACCTCCTGTATACCAGGCGAGGTAGGTTACATCTCCTAGCCACTGCGCCACATGTTGTATCTTCACGCCTTTACCCGTATTGCATTACTCCCTTTGGCTTTTGGACCAAATACATTCGACACAAGGCCGGCCAGTGTTACAACGTGGATGAATGTGCCAATGTGAATGGATCTTCTGTGCGTGCTGCTATGTATTCAATGCGTGTTGCAATGTGGCAGGATATGTCACAAGGTGTGTTTAAGCCGCCAGTATAGTTATCACGTGAGACCAGGTAGACAATTGAAACAGAATAAAAGCATAAAAAGGTATCGGCTTTATTCTTTCGTGCATTGTAAGCTTAAATCATTTAACGAGTGTGGGAACTGAACACGGGGTTGGAGTTACAGAAACCAACACGCGGGAGGCCCTTTTATCTTGATTTCACAAACACGGATCATTTTGCCTCGGACGTGAGAAGTATCAATGCAACATTTTACCAAATTACTGCCGGTTCAGATTGTGCGCTGAGCAAATTGACTTCTGTGCTTGTCAGCCCGCAGATCCCAGCTTGATGCCGACTTTAATCTGTGGCGTGGAAACATTGCTGCTGCCGTATTGGTTTATTGCCGTCACTGTTTATTTTTCACGAACCGCGTTGCTTCTGTTAAACATGCAGCAGATATTTTTTTTATATATTTGAATGACTTCCGCTGTAAAAAAAAAACAAAGTGCGGCTCTCTTGAAGTAACCCTTCGCGTTTGGTTGGGGAGTCGGGAAATGTCTTAAGAGTGTGATGCTTGCATCTTCTCAGAAAATTAACTTTTGTACGCCTGTGTTGTGGTTATCGAGGTTACACAGTAGAACTACTTTACCGCTTCGTCTTGGTGTATTGGGAGGGGTGACAAGACGGTCTTATTATTCCTCGCATTCCACGGCACACTTTTCGAGCTTGCCCCGTGACTTCGTGGCCACGCTGTTTGCTCAACTGCGCATGGGTGGTGACCAAGGGGAATTGAGAGGGCCGGGCGGGTGTGGAGGCTGACGGCTGTCTGCTGCCACACTGGGCCACGACCACGTGGGTGGGTGGGTGGGAGGTAGGGTGGGTGGATCGGCCACTGAACGGCACGGGGAGTTCGTCTGTCCTAGCTTCAGAATGTTTCGGTTCTTTACTTAAATTCCAAATAAACACCGCGACACAGACACACGACGATAACACCGGATATTGGGATGAATTTTGACACCACTTTTTGGGTTATTCATCTTATGCAGGCATAAGTGAGGATAACATTTTAAAAAAAGTATTTTATCTCAAAAGAAACGAATGATGATTGTAATGTAGTGGTACACACTGCGAATGCCCCTTCACAGCCTCCACGGATCGCGTGACCGTTCTAATCATCGCCCCTGAATCAGCTGTTTCTGTCATGTGAACTCAAACAGTGCAGAAAGTGCTACACATTAAGACAGATTACACTTAAATTTCCTACATTCTGTAGTTCATATTTTGTAATGAGTAAAACGCTTAGTACTGTACGCAGCTTATCTGGAGCGCCGATTAGTTATGTGAGAATATAACATTTACGTAAAAAATAAATACATTTGTTCTGTAATGTCAAACAGCTACCATCACGTTACGAATGGAAAATTATAGAAAATTATATTATATATAACTCTTAATTGACACGAAGCCTATACGATTTAAGGCTTGCTTTATTTGTGTATACGGATAGCAAGGAGCAAGCCTGTAGCGTGACTGGATAAACGATAATAGGAATATGGATGCGTTCTGGTCCTTGTCATGAAAATTTAGAGTTTATACTTCACCACTGGCACAGAACTGTCAGGTAAGACGAGCGTTGATAAATGCTCACTTGGGCATGCAACCATTTTTTTACCTGAATTTAGTTTGTTTTTTTCAAGCCTATGGCATGTGGAGGAGTTTCTTTAAAAAAATAGCGTACATATTTTGAATTTAAACATAGTTTCCAACTTCTCAAGCCGACACCTTTAGTCTGTAAATTACATTACAGTACTGTGCTGCTCTGTTAGTTATATATAAGCAGAGCCTTGCAAAACGAAGTAGCCTTACTGAATCGTGGCACCCGTACCAGATGGGTACACGGTGAGAGGTGAGACAAAATATCCTAATGATTATGATTGCTGTACACCCCAAGTTTGCATGTGACATCTAAGTACAGTAAAGCATTGTTGTACGGTGTATGACTTGGGAGTGGCAAGCATAGGTTGCATTTCTCTGAAAGTCTGCAATAATTCATTTTACACGCAAACTAACCGCTTGAGTTGAGCAGAGAAGTGAACAAGCAAATTGTGTTTTCTGTAGGGTCATTATATGTTTTTTATGAAGCTTCAAAACGATTTGACCAAATAATAAATAATAATCACTCGGTAATAATATGCGCCCTTTTTTTCCAACGCGCTGTTGGATGATGGCCTCCCAACACCAGGTTGGCCATAGTGGTGGTGGTGGTTGACAGCTTCAAATCTAGAATTAGGTTGATAGATACTTCACCAGCCTGGTCATTGAGGGTTGTGCCATAGTGGTGGTGGTTGACAGATAATTTCCCAACACCTCAGTTCTCAACTTGGCCAATATTCCCAGAATGTACTCTCTACTCAGTCATAGGCGCCTGAGATGGCTTGGACACGTGCGCCGCATGCAGGATGGCAGAATACCCAAGGATGTCTTGTACGGCGAGCTGGCATCAGGCACACGGGGTCACTGGTCGCCCAGTCCTGC